ATTGTGTGTCTCTTGTTCCTGTTTAAAAGACAAAAAAAAAAAAAAAAAAGGTGTTACTGTAAAACCAGCCTTGTTCCCAACACAAATATCCCTCCCCCATTTAAGTTTCCCATTCAAAAAACCCAGATTTTTTTTTTTTCCCATCACTCAGCTTTCCCACACAAGAGAGGCAGTGAAATATATTCCAGCTTTCCTGGATGTTTTGATGCAGCAGCTCAGGCAAAGAGCAAAATATAGGGGGGGCAGGGAAAAATTAAACCCTGAGTAGAGCCTTCCCCACTTCTTTCCTGCCTCTCAAATGAAGGTATTGTGTGAGTGTCAGAAAAACACACATTTGGTGCAAGACAGGAAGGAAAGGGAGGTGACTTACTAAGGCCTCTGAAGCAAAAGGGTTTTTTAAATGTTAATATTTTTCTTAAATAAATTAATATTTTTCTGCTTCTGTTTTTTAAATATTTGACTTTAGAATTATGTAATTTGGAAGCTTCTTCTTCCTTTTTTTTTTAACTTAATACCTCCCCTGCAACACTGGCCTGTGCACAACACAATTCCCAAGGCCCCAGGCAGCAGCAGGAGCACAGGACAGGACCAACACCAAGTCTCAGGATGAACAGGGCCAGCTCATCCCAGCATGTTTCCAACAACCTTCTCTGCCCTGGGAACAGGCACATCAGGCCCCAGCAGCTGCTCCTGCAGCTCCCACCACAGGAAAGGAGGAAGGAGATTCCAGTTTTCCACATTCCCTAAGCAAACCCTGGAATCAAAAGGCACCTTTGACACAGATTCTCTACCCTGATCTGCACTGGGATTTAGCCTTTGTTCCACATGGAGGAGAGGAAGATGGGTTTTTAAGTTTGGCAGTGCAGCAGTACTTGTGTCAAGGCAAAATTAACCTCCCAGGACTCCCCGTGGTGACATTCACGGGTAGAGACAAAATACAGTCGTTTTCTTCCTCCAGTTGTTGTTCTGCCAAGAGCCACTGACTCACATCCCAGCCTCCAAGGCACGAGGAACAAAGGAAATAAGGGAATTCTCACCTTTTTCGTGGTCCTTGTTGTGTTCTCCCAGTAGAACACACGATACTGGAAACTGTCCCCGGGTTCAGGCGAGAAAGGGGGGGTGACACTGAGGAGCAGCGAGTCAGAGCTGGCACTCACTCTGCTCACCCTGGGGGGGCCCAGAGTGGCTGGAAACAAACACAGAGAGAGCACTGAACCCCTGGGATGCACAACAGCTCATGGACTGGCTCCAGCTCCACAGAATCACTGAGGCTGGAAAAGCCCTCCCAGCCCATGGATCCCCCCTGTGCCCCATCCCCACCTTGTCCCCCAGCCCAGAGCACTGAGTGCCACGGCCAGGCCTTCCTGGGACACCTCCAGGGCTGGGCACTCCAAACCTCCCTGGGCAGCCCCTGCCAAGGTTTAATCACCCTTTCAGTAAAGAAATTTGTCCTGATGTCCAAAAATTCAGTCACAGA